TGTTCCATGTCCAGTTCTAACTGTTGCTTCCTGACCTGCATACAGATTTCTCAAGAGGCAGGTCAGGTGGTCTGGTATTCCCATCTCTTTCAGAATTTTCCACAGTTTGTTGTGATCCACACAGTCAAAGGCTTTGGCATAGTCAATAAAGCGGAAATACATGTTTTTCTGGAACTCTTGCTTTTTCGATGATCCAGCAGATGTTGGCAATTTGCTCTCTGGTTCCTCTGCCTTTTCTAAAACCAGCTTGAACATCTGGAAGTTCACAGTTCAGGTATTGCTGAAGTCTGGGTTGGAGAATTTTAAGCATTACTTTACTAGTGTGTGAGATGAGTGCATTTGTGCAGTAGTTTGAGCATTCTTTGGGATTGGCATGAAAACTGACCTTTTCCAGTCCTGTGGCCACTGCTGAGTTTTCCAAATTTGCTGGCATATTGAGTGCAGCATTTTCACAGCATCCTCTTTTAGGATTTGAAATAGCTTAACTGGAAGTCCATCACCTCCACTAGCTTGTTAGTAGTGAAGATTCCCAAGGCCCACTTGACTTCACATTCTAGGATGTCTGGTTCTAGCTGAGTGATCACACCATCGTGATTATGTGGGTCATGAAGATCTTTTTTGTACAGTTCTTCTGTGTATTCTTGCCACCTCTTCTTAATATCTTCTGCTTCTGTTAGGTCCATACCATTTCTGTCTTTTATTGAGCCCATCTTTGCATGAAATGTTCCCTTGGTATCTCTAAGTTTCTTGAAGAGATCTTATCATCAGCACCCTATACCCAATAATCCATCTTTCCTCTTCATATTTGAAGTGCCACCTTTATCAGATGTTAAATGCCTATATATACTTGGGACTATTTCTGTTCAATTAATTTGTTTATCCATATGATAGTATCACACAGTTTCATTATTATAACTTTATACTATAATATTTGTTAGAAAAAACACCTGGGAAGGTTGGTTACCTTTATTACTCTTTTCTGAAATTTTCTTAGCTATTTTAAAAAAAAATTTTTTTTCTCTTAGCTATTTTTATCATGAGTTTTCTAGTTGTTTTTTTAGTTTCCCCTGAAACTTAAATTATATATATTTAAAAATAATATTGAATATATAAATTTAGGATAAATTGACATCTTTATGATATTGAGTTTTCCCATTCAAGAATTTTGTGTGATTTTTCCATTTGTTCAAGTCTTTGGTGAGCCTTTGGAGACTTTCTAGATTTATATAGAATTTGCCCAATTATTTTTAAATTTAAGCTGAAATGTTTTGTCATTTTATTATCATTGGGAGTTTTCCAAATTCCTTTTTCAGGAAATGATCTTGCCATCACTTCAGTGGGTCCTTTAGCCTCTAGGATTAAATCTGAACTTCTTAGCTTTTCCTTCAAAGCTTTCCACATCCGGTTTAAAACCTGTTTTCCACGTATTTTCTTGTTACCTGTAGCTAGTCAGCAACTCTTGAACAAGCACCACCCTTTTATGTATTCCATGGCGCTGGTCCCCTCCTTCCTCCTCTGCCTGTGCAAAATGGTTTTCTTCATGAGCCCCTTCTTAAATGATCCAATTAGAAATGACCTCTCTCCTCTTTGATCCTTGACCATTTATTCTATGTGCCTTTTATCTGACAATAATCCAATATTACCTTGTGACAGCTTTTGTATTATTAAAATGAACTGCCCTTTATCTCTTAGGTGGCTATAAAACTATTAGTGGGTCTTTGCCTTGTTTCCTCAACTAGATTGTGAGGCCTTTGGGGAGACTGAGCCTGTCTCATGCTTGCAGCATCTGGGCCCTGCAAGCAGTGATGATAGTAGCATCAATGATGACAATGATAGTTCACATTTACCGCAAACTTTCTATGCGCCAGGTAGATTTTAAGCACCTTCCATGTATGAACTCATTAGCAGGTAGAATACTTGAGTTGTGTTGGGTTTATTTGACCTCAAACTAAACCTTTGAAGGGGAATGTAAAAGAAAGATCAGCTGGTCACAATACCCAGACAGTGATTCTAGCTCTCTGGGCAGAGAGGAAGGGGAATTTTCTAGAGAAGAAGAAGGATGGCCAGAGTCAAGGAAGGGAGGGGAGAGGAACAGGCAGGAATGGAGGCCCTGAGCTTGATGGTTGTGGAGATGAGTATTTTCTGAGGTTCTGGTGGTTTCAAGTCAGGCCATGTGTTGAACTTGCCCCTTGCCTTATACTGGCAGAGTTAGGGCCCTGGAAATAAGATCTGGCCCATGGCAGGGCCTTGCTGAGGCCTCTTTTCCACAGTGGTTCCCTGCAGATGGCCTGGGTCCCCTGGGGACAGCAGTCCCAATGCTTGACTGTCTTCCTCATCTGTCCACACCCCAGGGTTCCCAGCCCAGCTTGTTCTGCTCGTCTGCGCCCCCCTCCTTCACTCAGACAGCTTTGCTGAGCACCTGATGGGAGTGAGCGTGGAGCATGTTGATGAGAATTGGCCAGGGCTACAAGCTGACGGAAATCCTCCCCACCTTGGGGCCTGCCTCTCCTCAACAGTCATGAGCCTCTTGGAATATTTCCCCCATCTCAACACTACAGACGGTTTCAGGGTGCTCGGTGTCCTAGGCAATTGCACCCCAGCCTTCAAGTAAAAGGCAGCCAGGAGGCTGCCTGCCTGAGCTCTAAACCTGCAGCTCCAGCATCTAGGGACCCCATATGCATTATTTGTTGAGAACTGGAGAGCTCCAAGGGTGATTTACATCTGCACTGACCCACATGCCAGGTAGGCAGCCTAGAATCAAATTCCATGTCCCAGCTAGAAGCTCTTCCTTACACTTTGCTGAGCACAAGTAAACAGGTCTCAGCACCCACATAATGAACTCTTTTGATTCTTAAAGACAAGAAAAGGTGAAGGAAAGAAAGGACTTTGACTTTTTGAGACAGTTACCTTTTAAGGGACAAAAAATCCCAGCCCCTTGGACAAACCCTCCACAACAACTGGAAGGGTTAGCCTCTTATGGAGCCGGTCTGATCTCTAGGGAATGCATCATGGCGTGGGGCTGAGGCTGGCTCTGTTGAATCTAAACATGTTCCAACTTAAATTCAATTGCTTTCCTTCCAATGTATCATCAAAAGTTTAGTTGCATTTTGCTGAAGCAGACCTTGAAATCAGGGAAGGGTCCAGTAGAATAAGGGGATTTTTTCCCCCTGGAACTTTGCCCAGAGGCCCAGAACAAATAAGCCACATTTGAACTTTATGTTTATTATGGTGGATTTGTATAATTAGTTGTAGTGTTTTTCCTCTTCTTAGAAGTCTTATTTAGATGGCTTCCATAGAATTCTTTATACATGACTCCAGAGCTTATCATATTTATAATCAAGTTGTCTGCGCCAAGGAGGGGACTCTTTCCTGTCCTTGAATGCCCCACCTCCACTCGGAGCCTGGCACCTAATGACTGTACAGTGAGCAATTGCTGAATGAATGAATAAGCGAATAAAGGGTCTGAGTTGCTAACACCAAAATAGCCACGAAGTGGAAAGGAATTGGATGCTGTGAGCCTCAGGAACCGCCAGGAGTATCCCCTCGAGGCCATGCTGGCCGGACTCCTCTTGTTGTTAAGTCAGATATTTAATCATTGAAGAAGCCAGCCCTTCCATGGTTTGGGCTCAGCTGAGCCGACATTTAGCCTGCTTTCACGGCGCTGACATTTCCTCCTGGCTGGACTGCTCGGAGTCTGCCCTGTCTGTGACCAACCTAAGCACACTCTCTCCGGGGACCCTCCATGACCCAGCCATACTGCCAGGTCAGCTCCCACCTGGGACCCTCAGCCACCATGCCCAGAAGCAGTTTGCCAAAGGCTGTTCACTAAACTGCTCTCCTTGTTTCTATCTTTTCTGCTCCTCTTCTCTCTCTCTTTTACCCTGTCCCCCGTTCTTTTTGAAGTCCCAGTCCCTGTCTTCTCTCCAGCATCTCAATCAAGCTTCCCAGCCCTAACCAGACAGATCCCAACATTTATTTTACAGTAACTGTTTTAACGGAAGTACTAAGAGGTACCCACCTGAACTGGCAAAGCCTGGGCCAGCAGCCTGGTTTGGACTGAGGCTCATTCAGGCCGAGGGTATCAGCTTCCCAGGTCTGAAGATGGAAAATCATGCCTGCCATTCTGGAGGCAAGAAAGAGAACTTAGTGCACAGCCTCCAGCCCAAGCCCCACGTGGATCGCATTTTCCACCTGGTCTCATCGTCTCCATGTTCTTCCTTCTCCTCTACATACCAGCAGCTCCTTGAGGGCAGGCAGTGTGTTTTGCTTTTATGTATCAGGAGCCCTGGCATAGGAGTTGGCTAAACCTCCACACAGCCAGCTACAGTACAGCTCTGGGGACCTACTGTGGGCCAGGCTCCAGGCTTTGGGGATATAGAGATGAACAAGACAGACAACTTGGCTGGACTCAAGGAGTCTGCAATCTTTCAGGAAAGACAGAGTTTCAACTAACCCAAGTACGAGGAGAGAGAAATGAGCAATGCAGATGTAGGGTTCAGGGCACACCAGGTGAGACCCAACCTAGGGGTCACAAAAGCTTCCCAGAGAAGCACTGTTTCCGCTAACTCTTAAAGGATGACTAGGAGTTAGGTGCAATGGATGGGATGAGGTTAGAGGGGCAGAGAGAAAGCCTTCTAGACAGACAGAGTGTTTGTTGGATGAGTGAACCTGACATTGAAATCTGAGCTCGCTGACCCAGGGGTACAGAGCATTCTCATGGGCACAAGCAAGCGGGGCACCTTGATACCATGGTGCTGGAAGTTACCTTCTCATTACCCTAGACGTGGCACATGGACCTGCGTCACCGAAAGGCTGCGCTCTGGTCACCAATGCCTCCCAGAGGGGTATAGAACAGATGGGATAGAATAAATATACCCACCTCCTCTGCCAGGGATGGGGCAATTCTGGGTTAAGGTGAAAAACCCTCTGGTCCCGTATCGCATGGCAAATGGACTCTGCCAATCTCAGGCACCTCACCCAAGGCTCTTCTCCCAACCCAGATGAGCGGGAAGTTGTTCAGAAGAAGACCTTCACGAAATGGGTGAACTCACACCTGGCGCGCGTGTCCTGCCGCATCACCGACCTCTACAAAGACCTGCGGGATGGGCGGATGCTCATCAAGCTGCTGGAGGTGCTCTCCGGAGAGATGCTGGTAAAGCCCCTCCCCTGGGCCCTGTGGCTGGTCCTGGGTCCCCTCTGCAGCAGAGACACTGTCTGGGGCCTCTCCACTTCTCACAACCTGCAACAGTAATGATGCAATGTATCCATGTGACTGATTGGTTCTCAACTTATTCATCTAAAAGTGTGCTGTGCTTAGTCATTTAGTCATGTCCACCTCTTTGCAGCCCTAAAGACTGTAGCCCGCCAGGCTCCTCTGTCCGTGTAATTTCCCAGGCAAGAATACTGGAGTGAGTTGCCATTTCCTTCTCCAGGGGATCTTCCCAACCCAGGGATCAAACCCACATCTCTTGTGTCCCTTGGATTGGCAGGCAGATTCTTTACCACTAGCCCCACCTGTATATCCCAACATAAATGCAATGACTTTCCATCCAATATATCAATCAAAACTTTAGTTAATTTTGCTGAAGTGTCTCAGAATTTCTTGCTTTTTTCTGGCCATGCCCACCTCCTTCATATTCCTTCAGAAAAAGAGCCCTTGACTTTCTTCTCTTGGGATCTGGTTATCTTTGTCTGGCCTGCAGTGAGCTTACCTTCAGCCTCCTAGCAAAGGCTAAGACAGATGCCATTACCCAGCTGAAGAATTTGCATCCTTCGTGGAACCAGGAGGAAAGAATGGAAGAGATTTTCCTTTGTGTCCATCACTCTTAAAAGTGGAGATTTATTTCGGGCCCTCTCAGTTGTAACTCACCCAGCAGCAATGTTGCCCCTGCAGGAGAACCAGGTCAGGGCTCATGTTTTGTTTAGTCACTTCCACTGTGACCTTGGACCTACCAGGCAGGACCTTCTTTGTCTCATTTCTCCCCCATGTAAAATGATACCTGTGCCTGATGATGTAGGCTAAGATCCTTGGGGTTTGAGTGAAAGATTCCGTGTTCTTCTGTTGCCTTTTCAACTCCAGGCTGAAGTTAAAGAATGCCTCTTACCCTTCACTGAAGGCCCACTAGAGAGAGTTAGCGCTAAGAAGCCTTCAGATGATACAGTTACTCAGCAGTGGTGGTCCCTTGAGCTTCACTTGGGGCCATTCAAGGGTGAGGAGGGAGGAGGTCGGGTGGCAGGATGAACCCATTATCAGTCACCAAACTGAAAGCCACTCTTATCACCAATCAGCAGTAAATAGTTCCTAGAAGTGTGCCTGGCACATAGTAAGTGCTCAGTTAACTCCCTGTTGTGTTATTTATCTGAATGTCATCTATTACCACTCACAAAGCTCTGTTTAGACTGAGGAACAGTACTGGTACAGCCCACTTGCAGAGCTCTGGGTGCTCAAAGAGGGAACCCCTGAACTTTGCTGAAAGGAGGAGGTTGAAACATTGTCAAGGAGTGAGCTTGGAAGTGGAGTTTGGCGTGGAGGGTGGATGCTGATGACAGGAGCTGGTCCAGGCGTGACCGTGAGGTTCTTCCCTGCCTGTGGGGGCAATGCTGTCCCTCAGCCAAAGCCCACGAAGGGGAAGATGCGCATCCACTGCCTGGAGAATGTGGACAAGGCCCTGCAGTTCCTGAGGGAACAGCGCGTGCACCTGGAGAACATGGGCTCCCACGACATCGTGGATGGCAACCACCGCCTGGTCCTCGGCCTCATCTGGACCATCATCTTGCGCTTCCAGGTGGGTCCCCGGGACCTAAGAAGATGGTGAATGAGTGTGAGTGTTCATGCATGTGTACCCCGGGACAGTGCTTGTAGGACGGAGAGACCATCCTGAGCATCACCAACTTGCTGAAGCTGAGCGCGAGCAGCCCAGCCAGTGTCGTGGTCTTTTGAGAGAGAAGCTAGAAACTGGGAGCTGGACTCAGATCTGGTTGCTTTCGCCAGATCTGCTTTTGCCCCCTGCCCCCTACATGGGTAACTCTTTGGTTTTCTAAATAGTTTGATTCAAAAATTGCAAAGGCAGTGCAGAAGATCTGCTGCTGTGTTTTCCACTCAGAAGCTTTTCCCTTCCCACCTTGAAAGTCCACGTCTGTTATGTAAGGAAATTTAGGAAGCCCAAGGGAGGGAAAGCAGGGTCTTCCACCTGCTGGTTTGGGGCAGAAAGAACCTAGTTGGAGGAGGGAAGGGCCGGGAGGAGAAAAATAACACTCAACTCCCATCCTGAGGATCTCCGGCAAGTGGTCTTGGGTGTCCAGTCTCGCTCACTGCAGGTGTGTATGATGAAATGGTAATAACAGCAGAACCAGGGAGGATGAAAAGGCAAAAGGAGCCACTAATCCAGATGCAACACCTTCCAACAGTCATGCCGTCCACGGCCCTCACAGCGTCGTGCCTCCTGGGGAGGAATGAGGCCATCGTGCATTTATTCTCGGCCTCCCCTTTGAGTTTCTGATTGGAGCCATCTGCTCTGACCTGGGGAGTTCAGCAGGGTAGCAGGCCTCTTGGACCGTAGGCCTCAGCCTGTGGCGTGGCTGCAGGGCTGGGAACCAGAGGAGGAAAGAGGGAGGGGGGTCTTCCAGGGAGAGCTCTGGGCCAGATGCAAATCTCAGTCTCCCTTCTCTTGTTCCCGTGCCCCCAGATTCAGGACATCGTCGTCCAAACTCAGGAAGGTCGTGAGACGCGCTCGGCCAAGGATGCCTTGCTCTTGTGGTGTCAGATGAAGACGGCAGGGTAAGCCCTGGGGAACAGCTGCTACCATGTTCCCACCACCCTCTTCACCCCACACCCACATATTACCCAGGACTGTAGCAGCTTGGACATATTCAATGCAGAGTCTATCCCAACCTGATTCTTAGAGGCCCGGAATATAGGATTCTATCCCAAAGTTGCCTGGGTCAGACCATGGGGTCTGGGGGTGGGGGGTGGTGGTGAGTGTCTCTTGGGCTCATCTGATGGGGGAGCCTCTCTGTGGGACTTAACAGCTGCTGCCTTGTTGAAGCCGTTCGAGAAGGGTCAGGTCCTCCCCTCCACTTCACACACTTGTAGGGACCTCTAGAGAATCTGTTTCTTAGGTCTTAATGTTCCTCTTGGATGCAGCTACCCCCACGTCAATGTCACCAACTTCACCTCCAGCTGGAAGGATGGCCTGGCCTTTAACGCCCTGATCCATAAGCACCGGTAGGAAGAGGGGTGGGCTGCGGGAGCCCGCGAACCCTGGAGGGAGGGGGGTTTGGATACTTTGCACTTAGCATGTAGGTGACTGTCCAAGCTCCACAGGCACGTTAAACCCGCTGTGCCTGCTCCTGTCACCCTCAGCATCCTGCCTCCCTTAAATCCTCCTTCCCCGCACGCTGGTGCTCACCGCTCCCTCCTCCAGCCCATGTCCTCTTCTCAGTCCTCTGGCCCAGCCACTTCCTTGCATCTGCCCAGGGTCTTTGCCCTGTTGGTGGGGACACCATGCCCCCTGCCCTCTAACAGCCTGGCTTCATCCCCAGGCCCGACCTGATCGACTTCGATAAGCTGAAGGACTCCAACGCCCGGCACAACCTGGAACACGCCTTCGAAGTGGCCGAGCGTCAGCTGGGCATCATCCCGCTCCTCGACCCTGAAGGTGAGCTGGCGCCCACCAGGCGGGCAGGGCACCCGGAGGCGTGTGGTGGTGTTGGGCAAGCCGTGGACACAATGTGGGCCTGGGGGCCGGACCAGGGCTCTGTTCCGTCTGCTCTTCAGCTCCAGACTGGCTCCGATGCCTCCCCTGCCCACTCAGGAGCCATTGTAGTCTTGCCCACCTTGTCCCTTCTTCCTTGTTTTGTGGTCGTAATGTGGATTTCATCCACTGGCTTCAACCGCAGCCCATTCCTCTTCCACTCTCACCTGTCACTCAGTACGTGTAGTTGAACTTTGTGCTGGAGACACAGGGAGATGAACCCCTTGAGCCTGACATTTCCAGCTTCTAACTGGTCCTGAGAGCCCACACTTTCCCCTTGCAGATGTCTTCACAGAAAACCCTGATGAGAAATCCATCATTACCTATGTGGTGGCGTTTTACCACTACTTTTCCAAGATGAAGGTGCTGGCAGTGGAGGGCAAACGAGTCGGTAAGGTATGGAGCTTCTGTGAAACCAGGGCCCCCGGATCCCTGCTCACCGTGCAAAGGCCTTGACAGACGCTCCCTTTCTCTCCTAAGAGTTTTATGTCTGGACCCCAGCCATAGAAAAGGGCTCACATCACTCCCACCAACCTCCTCTGAAGCCAAGCATCGCCACATTTATGGCTCCCAAGCTGAATTCCAGTGCAGGTTGATAATCTGTCCTCAATGAGGTCATAACTTCCTCCTGCAGACCTATATCTCATGAACATTCCCTCAGGAACGAAACGGGCTTTTACTTGTTAGTCTATTGTGGTGTCAGATCTCTCAGGCTCCCGTAGCCTACCCGGGAGCCACACCATTCTACAGACCCTCATGCTGGGTCCTCAACTCCTCCAGGGTACGGACCATTTCTCATTCATCTTTGTGCACTGGTGTTGAGCAAAGGCAGTGCCTAGAAGCCTTCCATCCTTGTTGTTCAGTCACTCAGTCACACTCAACTCTGCGACCTCATGGACTGCAGCATGCCAGGTCTCCCCCGTCCCTCACCATCTCCCGGAGCTTGCTCAAACTCCTGTCCATAGAGTCAGTGATGCCATCCAACCATCTCATCCTCTGTTGCCCCCTTCTCCTCATGCCCTCAATCTTTCCCAGCATCAGGGTCTTTTCCAATGACCTTGATCCTTAATAGCCATTTTTAAACAAACAGGACTTTGGCTCCTCTGGTGACTGCTGTCCTGGGACAGTGAGCTTTCCAGTCTTTTACAGGATGCGGGAGGGGGGAGCTGCTCCTGATCCCAAACAGGCCAGGTCCCTCCTGCACCTCCTGTCTAGCCCTCTACTCAGCAGTGATCTTGGGCTCTGGGGACAAAGCCGACATAAACACTCTAGGGATTTCGAGGAGGAGGACCACCTCGACTGTGGTCCCCATTGGCATCCTCACTGACGTCCTCACCCTTCTCACGAGGATGAGTCACAAGGTGATTCCCTAGGTAATTGACCACGCCATTGAGACCGAGAAGATGATTGAGAAGTACAGTGGGCTGGCCTCGGACCTGCTCACCTGGATTGAGCAGACCATCACTGTCCTGAATAGCCGCAAGTTCGCCAACTCCCTGGCCGGTGTCCAGCAACAGCTGCAGGCCTTCAGCACCTACCGCACCATCGAGAAGCCACCCAAGTAAGGGCCCGAGCACCCGGGAGGGTGGGCATCAACTGCTGAGAAATGACCTCCCAAAGGTGGGAGGGCCTGGAGAAGGGATCCGGGAGGCATATCCTGGAGGTTAGAGAGCCGCCTGCCTGTCACCTGCTTTATCCCGTCTTGTCTCCCTGCTCCCAAGCTGTCAGCCTGCAGGAAATGGGTATTGAGTAACCCCTGACTCATAGCCAAGGGAAGTACTTTCTCAGATCCAGATCCCTGAATGGGGAGCAGGAGTAGAATCTCAGGCTTCAGAGTCTCTTCAAAGAGCCTGTGCTGGAGACTTCCCCTTCCCTGCGCAGCGAGCTGCAAGTTTGTTCTCTGGTAACGACCTCTGCATCTGCAGCCCCAGAGCTCGCCACGTGCAGCCTCCTTGATCATCAGACACATCCTTCTTCTTCTCTCCCGTCTGTCACTGCTCATCCATCAGCAGAGCACTTAGCCTGCCTCTTGGGACTTCTGCTCCACTGCGGTGTGTGCAGGGCCTGTGTGCACATATGCCCATGCAAATACAGCCATGCGTGTGCACACACATGCACACATACACACACGGCATTCTAGCTTGCCTGCCCTCAGCTTGTCCAGCTCCCCTGAAACGGATTTCTAGCTCATCGGTGGTACCTGTGCTTTGCTTCTCCCCTGCTCATTCATTCATGACTTGCTAACAGGGAAAGGCCAGATGCGGAGTCTAGAATGTACTATAAATAAATGTCTGATTTCTGGCCTGACACTAACCATGTTTAAAGTCCTAAATCCAATCCAAGTAATATCCCCCGTGAGTCTACCAGGCACTGCACACAGGGGTGGTATCTCTTGGCTGTGTAAGACAGTGCTCGAGGTCACAGCCTCCTTGACGTGCCTGTGAGCAGCAGGTATGTGGGCTGGCCTCGGGCTGGCCTGGGACCTTGCTTACCATCTGATCTGTAGCTGCCACAAGGAGGAGGGAAAAGTGGGTAGATACTTGGCCACATGCAGAAATGGGAAAATACTCAGTTACCTGGAGCTCATCTGGACACTGGGTTCCAGACATCCATCCTGCTGCCATCCTCCCCTCCCCCTGAGATCCTCCCGGAGCCCAGCCTTTCCTCCCCCCTCAGAAACATCTGGACTTTTGGACAGTTGTCAGGACAGCCGACTCATTAGTACTCAGGTGAAAGTTGCTTTCTGTGCAATATGTTCTTGCGTGGATAATGCTGCTTCAAAGGGTTATTGACTCACACCATAAAAAACTGAGTAAAGAGCTAGTCAGGAGCCTTTAGCATTTGTAGAACAGGGAAGAATTTCTTTGTATTGATTGGTAAAACTTGATACCTACAGGAATTTCCAGAACACTTAGCCATTCCCCCATGGAAACAAATGATAAACAAACACTGCAGTAGTTGTGTTTTCTTTGATTTATGTTGCAAAGACTCAACCCCTATTAGGTCTCAGTTGGTGAGTATGATAGACTAATGTTGTAAGAGGTAAAACTTATAGATCCTCTATCTTTTTTTACTTTTTAAAAATTTTACTGAAGTATAGTTAATTTACAATGTTGTGTTTCTTTTTACTTTTTTTTTTTAGGTTTTATTTTTTTTTTTAATTTTTTTCATTTATTTTTATTAGTTGGAGGCTAATTACTTTACATCATTGCAGTGGTTTTTGTCGTACATTGAAATGAATTAGCCATGGATTTACATGTATTCCCCATCCCGGTCCCCCCTCCCACCTCCCTCTCCACCCGATCCCTCTGGGTCTTCCCAGTGCACCAGGCCCGAGCACTTGTCTCAGCTATCCAAGCTCCCAAGATGCCAGGGTTCCATGTTTACTTAAAAAAGAAAAATTGGCTGTGGGAATCTCAACACTCATCACCCAACCTCTGTTTTTTCAAAAGGTTTCAGGAGAAGGGGAATCTGGAAGTCCTACTTTTTACCATCCAGTCCCGGATGAGAGCCAACAATCAGAAAGTGTATACGCCCCATGATGGGAAACTGGTGTCTGACATCAACCGGGTACAGAGGCGTTTTTCATTTCATGTTGCCAGGGGGTTGATTCAGCTCGTGAGAGCAGCACAGGAGATGGTCCCTGGAAAGGGTTCAGCCTAGCCACTCTGTGCTGTTGTTAGTGACACAGCTGGCTATTGAGGGTGCTGTCTGAGCCCAGCCCTGAGAGATCAGACTCGACCCACCATCCTTCCATTCATGGGTGGGGAGAGGGGCAAGATAGGAGACAGGGATGAAGAGGTACAAACTACTACCTATCAAATAAATAAGATACAAGGATTTAATGTACAGTATAAGGAATGTAGCCCATATTTTATGATAACTTTATATGAAGTGTAATCTATACAAATATTGAATCACTATGTCATACACCTGAAACTAATACAATACCGTGAGTCAACTATACTTTAATTTAAAAAAAATAAAAAAGAAAAAGAGGCAGTTGCTACACAGTTCCAGCTCAAATGCTATGAGAATGGGGATTCAGCAGGCTTGCCAGTGAGTTAACTGAGCTTCTCCTAATGAGGGCATAGGGAATGGTTCCTGGGTAGGGGTAAGCCAAGCCACTCTGTGCTGTTAATAATGCCCAGCTGGCTGTTGAGGGTACTATCCAAGTGTGGCACTGAGAGGTCAGGCTCTACCCACTGTCCACCTGTGCAGTCCCCTCCTCAGATGCCCAGAGTCCAGTTTATAGCCTATTCTCTATAGAACCTGGAGGGCTTTTAGGGAATATCAACTACTTTTAATGAAGGCAAATGCCTTGTGACACTTTGGAGATTTGGAGGCCTACCACCACCTGGAAATTCCATTGGAATGGTGGTGGCCATTTACTCAGCAGGAATTTACTGAGCACCCACAGAGGCAATAACACTATATGAGACCAAGACCGATTTACGGGAAGGCCAGTTTAGGGGAAGAGGGGACTGGGAGGTCATGATCAGTGCTCCCTGAATCTTCAGTTGGCTTAAACAGGAAAACTGGAAGGCTAGGTTCTGTCTAGATTCCTCAAATCACTCAGTCCTGGTGAAAGAGTTTGGATGGTACCCCCAAATCCCAAGAGCTCTCCTCTGCCACCCCATGCAGGCCTGGGAAAGCCTGGAGGAAGCTGAGTACCAGCGGGAGCTGGCCCTGAGGGGTGAGCTCATCCGGCAGGAGAAGCTGGAGCAGCTGGCCCGGCGCTTTGACAGAAAAGCTGCCATGAGAGAGACGTGGCTCAGCGAAAACCAGCGCCTCGTGGCCCAGGTAGTGGGGTGCACTTGGCACTGCGACGGTGGGGTGGGCAGAGCGGGGTAAGCCTCTCCACGGGCCTTGCATCCCTGCTCCCTGTGATTGGGTGGGTCAGGATTGACATCTGAAAAGGAACTCTCCCAGCTCGATTAAGTCTCACTTTTTAATTATTTATTTTTGGCTGCGCTGGGTCTTCATTGTAGTGCATGGGCTTAGTTGCAGCATGTGGGCTATTAGTTCCCCTCCAGGGATCGAACCTGGGCCCCCTGCATTAGAAGCATGGAGTCTTATCCACTGGACCTCCAGGGAATTCCCTATTAAGTCTCATTTTAGGAAAGAGCCACACAATCCAAAAATGGCCCCAAAGGTTATTCCCCATGAACCAGGAGCATCACCCAGAGCCAGAGTTCAAGTCGACATTTCAGGGGTCCTCTGGGGATGTGATAGAAGCCGTGCACCTTGTGGGTGTCAGACATGCCCCTTGGACTCTGGCCTTCAGGACTGTGTCACATTTCACTAGCTAAAACCTGACCCCAGGACTGATTCTCCATGAGAGCGTCTGTCCCTTCCCACTTGGATCTTGGCATCAAATCAATCCCATCCGGAAGGGCGAAAGCAAGCATTCTGAAAGAACTGGAGAGTATGCAGTTACCCCAGAGAGCATGGGGCAAGCCCTCTGGGTGCAGCTGCAGGGTTTCCAGTAAGAAGCCCCTTCCTGCCCAGAATGGGGCAGCTCCCTCCAGGCAGGGTGGTGAGTGCCAGCAGGTGGGAAGAGAGCTCTGTCAGTGATAGTCACCCAGTGTTATACCCACATGGATGGCTCAGTGAGTAAAATCACGAGCTTCTTGCAAAGGTTCTTATGAGACATTTAGTCTTTGGAACTCGTCGCTGATAAGATAGGCTGAAAAAGATGGCAGAAGTAACCTTTTGGGGAAGAACTTTTTCCTGCAGAAGTTGCTCCTAAAAGACCTGCAGTTTCTCTGGGCTTGGGGACCAACCAAGAGGACCCTAACCAAGCTGCCTGTTCTCCTTCCTCCCTGGGGGACAGGATAACTTCGGGTACGACCTGGCAGCAGTGGAGGCCGCCAAGAAGAAGCACGAGGCTATCGAGACAGACACGGCTGCCTACGAGGAGCGGGTGCGGGCCCTGGAGGACTTGGCCCAGGAGCTGGAGCTGGAGAACTACCATGACCAGAAGCGCATCACGGCCCGCAAGGACAACATCCTGCGCCTGTGGGACTACCTGCAGGAGCTGCTGGGGGCCCGGCGCCAGAGGCTGGAGAAGACGCTGGACCTGCAGAAGCTCTTCCAGGACATGCTGCATAGCATTGATTGGATGGACGGGATCAAGGTGGGCCCGGGCACCCTGCCCCACCCCCACCCCACCCCGTCCCCCTGGGGCTTCAGCGAGCTGTGCTTCCATAGGCACCTCCCAGCCCCACGACCGAGTCAGAGCAGAGCATCTAAGGCAGCAGGTGTCTAATGGCATCTGCCTCTCCACAGCTTGGCTCGCTCTGCTCCAGTCTGCTGTATCCCCAGTGATCAAGAAATCTGGGGTTCAGAGTTAACACAGGTGCCGGCCTGCAGGGCCTGGACGAGACAGACCTCCCTCAGGAGCCTGGAGAATCACTGAGTAATCACGATCTGTCTCTAGTTGGCATCCAGACCTTGGCATCCAGGGCCCCTGAGAAGTCTGAGTCTCCTCTCTCACTATCACAGTGGCTCTCAACTGAGGATGCACATCAGACTGACCGGGGCTTGCTTTTTTTTTTTTTTTTAAGATTTTCTGATATAGGCCATTTTTTAATATCTTTTTTTCTTTTTTATTTATTTTCATTGGAGGCTAATTACTTTACAATATTGTGGTGGTTTTTGCCATACATTCACATGAATCAGCCGTGGGTGTACATGTGTTCCCTATGCTGAAGATATAGGCCATTTTTAAAGTCTTTGTTGAATTTGTTGCAGTGTTGCTTATGTTTTATGTTCCGGTTTTTTGGCCCTGAGGCATGTAGGATCTTAGCTCCCCAACCAGGGATCAAACCCATATCCCCTGTACTGGAAGGTGAAGTCTTAATCTCTGGACCATGAGGGAAGTCCCCCATGGAACTTTCTGAAAATACGTACACCCAGGTCCCACCCCTGGGGCACATGGGCAGACTGAGTGTAGGGCTTGAACTCTTGAAAGATGCTCCCTGGATGATTCTGATGGGCACCCCCAGTGGGAGCTCCTGCTCTGTAGCCTCTTTCCCATTGAGCAGCTGCATCTGACACCCTGGTCCCCAGTGCCCTGGACCCTCACTTCGGAAGGTTATTCTCCTAGCACATGGGTCTCTCCACCTCTCCTGACTCCCTCTGCCCTGTCTGTCCTCTTCGCCAGGCTCACCTCTTGTCTGCTGAGTTTGGAAAGCACTTGTTGGAGGTCGAGGACTTGCTACAGAAACACAAGTTGATGGAGGCTGACATTGCCATCCAAGGCGACAAAGTGAAGGCCATCACCACAGCCACCCTGCAGTTCACTGAGGGGTCAGGTGAGGCTGCAGGTTGAGGTTTTTCTGTTGAGCCTTCTGGCCCAACACTCCAGCACCCCAGGGTGGATAAGTCTAGCTGTAGAATTCTGCCTCTTTCATCAACACGTGGTATAAGAAAGAAGTTTGAGGAAGAGCAAAATCATTCAGAAAGCAGGCGACTGCTTCGGTCATCTATTATCAGAAAGGTGTGTAAGCACCAAGAAGGCATCCTTCGTCTTTCATTCTCTTGGCTAGTTTAAGTTATGGTGGAGACAAGCTAGGTTTATAGCTTCTGGTCTTAGATAGGTGACCCCTGCTGCCTCTCGGAAGAATCATCTAGAAATTAATGCCTGGGTCTTTTAAAAAATAATTTCACATTGTGCATTTCTACTGAGAGTTGATCCAACTTTTAACCTCTCTTATTCCGGGAGTTTTAGTGGGAACTAATCCCACTAATTCCTGAAGATTTAGTGGAAACTATTACAAAGAACTAATTAAAAGCCTGTCCTCTGGGCAACTGAGACCTCCTGCATCCCAATCCCATCCCAATCCCCAGTGAGATGGCAGGTTCTAGGTGTGGTTCTAGTCTGGCACCTGATCTGAAGCTTGCCCAGAGATAATGAAGCCCTTACCTTCTTTGTCCTTCCTCTTCCCATGTCACCCAGGGTACCAGCCTTGTGACCCCCAGGTCATCCGGGATCGTGTCAGCCACCTGGAAAAGTGCTTCGAGGAGCTGAGCAACACGGCAGCTGGGCGCAAGGCCCAGCTGGAGCAGTCCAAGCAGCTCTGTAAGTTCTTCTGGGAGATGGATGAGGCCGAGAGCTGGATCAAGGAGAAGGAGCAGATTTACTCCTCCCTGGACTATGGCAAGGACCTGACTAGCGTGCTCATCCTGCAGCGTAAGCACAAGGCCTTTGAGGATGAGCTGCGCGGGCTGGATGCCCACCTAGACCAGATCTTCCGGGAGGCTGAGGACATGGTGGCACGCAAGCAGTTTGGGTACGAGCGGATTGAGGTCCGGATCAAGAAGGTGTCTGACCAGTGGAATGAGCTGAAGGACCTGGCTGCCTTTTGCAAGAAAAACCTCCAGGACACTGAGAACTTCTTCCAGTTCCAGGGCGACGCGGATGATCTGAAGGCCTGGCTACAGGACGCCCACCGGCTGCTCTCGGGGGAAGACGTGGGGCAGGATGAAGGGGCCACACGGGCCCTGGAGAAAAAACACAAGGACTTCCTGGAGGAGCTGGAGGAGAGCCGCGGAGTGATGCAGCACCTGGAACAGCAGGCGCAGGACTTTCCCCCAGGGTTCCAGGATTCCCCAGATGTGACCAACCGGCTGCAGGCCCTCCGGGATCTCTACCAGCAGGTGGTGGCCCAGGCGGACATGCGGCGGCAGAGGCTGCAGGATGCCCTGGACCTGTACACGGTGTTTGGGGAGACAGACGCCTGTTTGCTGTGGATGGGCGAGAAGGAGAAGTGGCTGGCCCAGATGGAGATCCCGGACACGCTGGAGGATCTGGAGGTCGTGCAGCACAGGTCAGAGCTGGCCCTCCCCTCTCACCGCCCCCTACAGTCTGCGCTCCTAGTCCCCAGACAGCCTCCAGATCAGCAAGCCTCTCAGAGAGAGGCTGTAAGACGCCCTTTGTCCCAGAGGCCAGGCACCAAGAGTCACGAGTTCTCATCTGGCTTTGGGTACTTCACCCCCAGGGCCTTTCCCAAAGGGGCTCTTTCTAGTCCAAGTGTTCGATGACTTTTCAGTGACAGCAGCCTTTGTTCAAATGAATTGTATATGGGACCCCTGATATGTAACACAGAGGAAAGCGGAGGGGACATGACTAAGGGGGAGGTGAGCGGCAAGACCCCATAAGCTCTTTCGGCGGCAGTCCCTAAACCACATGAGCCCTCAGGGGCCTCGGAGACCAGTTTGTAAACTGTCAGTCCAAGGCCACTCTCATTTCCAGTATTTGAGTTCCATCAGCACTCCGGCATGGCAAGGCTTGCCCCCAGCATCCTGAGTACAGAATCCAAGGAGCTAAGAGCAAGAGGCTACTCCTTGAGCCTGCCCTGGTGGTCCCATGCTGATGCTGGAGGGACCTGGGCTCTTATCTCAGAGGAGTCAGCTTTCATAACACAGGATTCCCACAGCCTCAGTAGTTCACCCTTCTCCTCCCCAGGATGGAGCACCTGACTGAGGAGGTATCCTTCAGGTGGAGGCAGTGGAATTAGGGTTCATGAACAGCAGCTGAGCCAGTGGAGGTGTGGCAGATGGTTTCTGTGGCCATCAGCACTGCCCACACCTCATTTTTCCTCCATCTCTGTTGAGACATTGGCCTGTATAAGTAACCAGGTCTCTCCTAGCCTCATCCAGGAAATGCTAAACCAAGAAACTGGACCCATGAACCAGAAAAGAGGGCGTGTCAGCACACCTTTCTCCTTTCTCCCCTCTTACCTGGTGGGAGGAGGTGGAAGAAGAAAGCAAGAGCGGGGCAGAAAGCAAAAGCCGCTGCTGCCTTAGCAATCCTCATTTTCTCTGTCCACATCAGGTTCGACATCCTGGACCAGGAGATGAAGACGTTGATGAGTCAGATTGATGGCGTGAACCTTGCTGCCAACAGCCTGGTAGAGAGCAATCACCCACGCAGTGCGGAAGTGAAGAAGTGCCAGGATAACCTGAACACCAGGTGGGGTGTGGGGAGAGCTTGGAGATGGGGGCTTCTTTCCTGGCACATCTGTGGGGTGTGGCCCAGAAGTCAGGAGGCCTGCTGTGTGTGCCAGGTTTGTACCCTCAGAGTTCCTGCCTCCATCTGCCATGGTCTCCTTCTGACCCTGGAGCTATAGCCCCAGGGAGGAGGGACCTGGGTGGTGACCAGCCCAGGGAAAGAGATGTGTTCCCAGAGCTGCAGTGCTGTGCCTGGAATGGGTGTGTGCTGAGCAATGGAGGAAATGCCCTGAGTGCATCCACAGTTAGAATCAGGCCGTGTGTTTCTCAGGCCACATTTCCCTGGACGTTCTTAGGCAGGGAAGATTGCTTTCTGAGAGCTCTTAAGTACTGTCCTTAAAAGAAAGCTCCTGCTTGTGCCAAAATGCAGCATTGATAATGAGACTGGCTTGAATGAAGAGGAGAATTAGCAAGAAGCCTTGAGCACACGTCATGGCCAGAAGGAAAAACAGGCCCTAAGGAGCCTTTGGAGAGGGACTGCTTTCAGTACAGGATGTGATTGCCACGGGATCCTTGGGAGTCTCTGAGGACAGTGCATGCACCTGTGTTCCGTTCGGTATCCTGGGCTCTACATGCGCAGCACCACGTTCACTGCCGCCACTGCCCCAGTCCATTACCCCACACCTGCCTGAACCCTGCTCTGCCTGAGGCAACCTGGGAGGTGGGGTTAGGGAAGACTTGGCTGTAAAGAAAAGGAGCAGCACAGGGAGCTTAAGAGGAGGCAAGGGGTAACCCCCTGATACTTGGGAGCCACCAGATTGTCTCAGCATCCACCCCACTTGGGGTCAGTCTCTTTTGTTAGAAAGTTAGATCTCATCGTGAGTGGAAATCTGCCTCCTTGAAATTTATGTACATCGGTTCTGGACTCTGCCTATTAGAGATACTGAAACTTACTCCAATTCTTCTTCCACGTGATAGCTCTTTGACTCTTTTTAAAGACAATTGTCCCCCTTCACCTGCACCCACGGTCCTGCCTTCATGTAGGTGCCATTCTCTCTACAGGGTCCATCCTCCTCCAACAATATGGTCTAAATTGTGGTTGTTTTCAGGCCAGTACAGGTTTCTCTCCCTCCCAGTTTCCAGGATGAAAAAGTATCTTTCCTTGACTGATTTAGAGCTTCATACTCTACCTTTTATTATAATTACTTTCATCTTTTAAGAAATTTTCTACTAGATGGTAAGTGAATGAAGAGCAGTATCTTATAGTGTCCACAGTATTTTATACACTGCCCACAGTATCTTATACAGTGTCCACAGTATTTTATACAGTGTCCATGGTATCTTCTATAGCGTCTACAGCTCTGAGCACCAAGATTTTATTGTCTGAGGCTCCCTCTGTTGGGAATATTCTTTTCACAGGTATCCTCACTCCCACACGTTACTCAGATCTCAGGTCATGTCCTCTTCTTGGTGCAGTTCACAATGACCAACCCATTCACAGTATCACCTCCTCCTTCCCATCCAGCTCCTCTGCCTCAATACCTTTTTCTTGCTTCCTTTTAATTTTAAAGATTTTTAAAAATTGTTTATTTATTTTTGGCTGCACTGGGTCTTCATTGCTGCATGCAGGCTTTCGGTAGTTGCAAAAAGCGGAGTCCACTCTCTAGTTGCAGTGAGCAGGGGTTATTCTCTCATTGAAGTGGCTTCTCTTGTTGTGGAGCCCAGGCTTTAGGCATGTGGGCTTCAATAGTTGCCATCCACAGGCCTTAGAAGTTACAGAAAAAGGGCTTAGATGCCCCGAAGAATGTGGGATCTTCCTGGACCAGAAAGTGAACCCATGTCCCCTGCATTGGCAGGCAGATTCTCAATCACTAGACCACCAGGGAAGTCCCCCTTTTCTTCCCCTTTAAATTGGATTTTTTAAAACGGTTTATTTGGGGGGTTTTGGTCATACCACGTAGCATGTGAGATATTAGTCTCCCAACCTGGTATTGAAGCAGCGTCCCCTGCATTACAAGTGCAGAGTCTTAACCACTGGACCACCAAAGACTGGTGCTTAACTTTTCTCCTTTGTACTTGTCACCACTTGATGGAGTAAACACTTACTTGCCTCTGGCCATTTGAATGGGAGCACTTTACTTCATTTGTGGTTCTATCCCCAGAGCCTAGAACAGTGACTGGCACGAGACATGTACGTGATGTGAGTGACCGAGGACAGAACTGAAATGTGCCAGGATCCGCACACCTAAGTCACTCAAGTACTTACTGAATATGTGATTACCTCCCACCATACACATTCTGGTTGGCCAATATTATCTTATAATATCTTGGGCCCAGGACCACACCTGGACTCCTGACATGGTCTGGCCAGTACTGCCTAGAGCAGCCGAGGACAGAACTGAAATGTGCCAGGATCCGCACACCTAAGTCACTCAAGTACTTACTGAATATGTGATTACCTCCCACCATACACATTCTGGTTGGCCAATATTATCTTATAATATCTTGGGCCCAGGACCACACCTGGACTCCTGACATGGTCTGGCCAGTACTGCCTAGAGCAGCTCTAACAACGTCCCCCCTTTTGGAGATGGTGCAGGGGAGGGGAAGGTGGGTTTGGGAGGCAGACTAGACCCAAATGTCACCCTGTTCCCTATGTGACACTTGCCTGGTGTCTGCAGTGAGGCCATACCAAGAAAAGCCTGGAAAGTCACCATGAAACCTCCTTCCTAGGGGCACTGCCAGATGGTCTCCTGTGGCTTCTGGATGGAGCTGGGAGGCCTCCCAGCCCTGGGGCACCTCGCTTTCCTTTCACAGTAGTTTCAGATCACCTTGGGGGGAACCTCCAGCCCTTTTCCCTTAACATCCAGCCTCAGCAGCATCCGTGTAACAGGCACAAAACTCCCCAGAGGTCGGGGGCCTTACCTCTGGACTCGTCTACCCTCTTTCCTGGAATTTCCCATCCTTTCTCTGGGCTCGTCCTCCTCTCTCTCTCGGAATTCCCAATCCTTCCCAGCCCTCCTCCCACTGCTTTGCAGACCTGTCTTCCACCCCCAGACTGAGGTCGCCCTGGGAATGCCCACAATGCGCTCTACCCAGTCCATCTGCCTCCTCCGGCCACTTCCATCCCCAGGCTTCAGAGATGAGTGACTCAGGGCCCACTCCTTAAATAGCTCACTGCTGGTGATGCATTCACTGAAGCACAGCTCAGATGACCACCGTGAGACCTGCCCTTACCACCCCTCCTGCTCCTCACAGCTCCCTTAGTCCTCTCTGCCTGGTGTGTGCTGTGTACGTTGTACTTTACACTATGGTTGTTTGATGAGTTTATCCTACTTTCTTTCTAACTCATACACTCTGTGGAGCAAAGTCTGGCTATGACTGTATCTTCCCAAAGGCCCAAAGCCAGAGCAAAGTCTGGCTGTGACCGTGTGTTCCCAAAGCTCTTCATAATGCTTATACATTGTGGATATTCAAGAGAGATGAGCTCAATTAGCGACTACACATTCAGTGTACTCTCATGTGCTTCCAGTTCACAATGATGCCGAGTGAGTAAACCCAGGTCCAGGGGAGGTGTCCCTGGTGGTGTGGGCCCAGGCTATTGAGCGGCTCTTTAGAAGAGGCTTACTGTGGGCTGCAGACCAGTCGCAGGACATCTGCCCGACTTTTGCACACTCCCCAGGTTCATTCCACACTGCACATGAAGGTTAAGATGATGTTTTAATTACAATCCCAGTTTCTCCTTCCCTCTTCTTCTTCTTCCTTCTCTTCACTACAACTCTTTTCTTTGACAGCCATGCTGGCTTTCCTTAGGCCCAGGGCACTTAGAACATGGTCTTGGACATTTGTGTGGTTCCTCTGTGGCAGCTGGGATCCTGTGTCATAAAGCTTTCTTATGATTGATAATGGGGCATTTCTAATTATTTTCAGTATAAGCATACCTCAGAAATAAGGTGGGTTCAGTTGCAGGCCACCCCAATAATCAAATATCAAAATAAAATGAGTCACACACAAATTTGGGGAGTTCCCAGTGCATATAAAAGTTGTTTACACAATACTGTAGTCTACTAAGTGTGCAGCATCATTATGCCTAGGAAAACAATGTACAAACATTAATTTAAAAATACTTTATCGCTAAAAAATGCTCATCCTCTGAGCCTTCAGTGAGTCATAACCTTTTTGCAATAGTAACATCAAAGATCACTGCCCACAGAGCACCATACAAGCATCATAATGAGAGAGTTTGAAATATTGCAGTAACTACCAAAATATGATAGACATGAAGTGAGCAAATGTTACAAAAATGGCACTAATAGATGTCTCAACAAAGGATTGCTACAAATCCTCGATTCATAAAAGAAAACAAAAACAAAAAAGCCCCATGGTATCTGTGAAGTACAGTAAAGCAAAGCTGAATAAAACGAGATATGCTGCTTGCATTTCAAAAAATCTGGGAAATTGTATGTTTGCCTGAATTTCAACTACATATAGAGCTTACATACAGAGCATCATGTTCCTTTATTGATGGTTGTAATAACATCACAGTTCGCCTCCTGCTAATGGAAGCTCTGGCAGTTCTGTTGTCTTGGGTAAAATCGGATAAACTGACTCATCACAGTTTGCTGGAGAGATGACTCTTTTTTCAGAAATCTGGAAGGGACACCCTGGGGGAAGAGTTAAGGAAGAGGCTGTCTGACTCCCATCTCCTTCGGCAGGTGGCAGGACTTCCAGACCATGGTGTCCGAACGGCGGGAGGCCGTGGACTCGGCCCTCCGGGTGCACAACTACTGCGTGGACTGTGAGGAGACTGGCAAGTGGATCGTGGACAAGACGAAGGTGGTGGAGTCCACAAAGGACCTGGGCCGGGACCTGGCAGGGGTCATTGCCGTCCAGCGCAAGTTGTCGGGGCTGGAGCGAGACGTGGCCGCCATCCAGACCCGTCTGGGCATGCTGGAGCGGGAGTCACAGCGGTTGATGCAGTCACACCCCGAGCTGAAGACGGACATTGAGCAGAGGCAGGCGTACGTGGAGGAGCTGTGGCAGGGCCTAAAGCAGGCCTTGAAGAGCCAGGAGGCCTCCCTGGGGGAAGCCAGCCAGCTGCAGGCCTTCCTGCAGGATCTGGATGCCTTCCAGGCCTGGCTCTCCACGACCCAGAAGGATGTGGCCTCCAAGGACATGCCCGAGTCCCTCCCGGAGGCCGAGCAGCTCCTGCAGCAGCACGTGGCCATCAAGGACGACATCGACAGGCACCAGGAGAGCTACCAGAAAGTCAGGGTGTCTGGGGAGAGGGTGACCCATGGCCAGACGGACCCAGAATACCTGCTCCTGGGCCAGCGGCTAGACGGCCTAGAGAAGGGCTGGGACGCCTTGAGCCGGATGTGGGAGAGCCGCAGCCAGGCCCTCACCCAGTGCCTCGGCTTCCAGGAGTTCCAGAAAGATGCCAAGCAGGCTGAGGCCATCCTCAGCAACCAGGTAGGGAGAGGCACTAGGGGCTGGGGGCATCTCTCAGGGCAAGAGAGAATTTGTAGGTTATCAGCCTGCAGAAGTGCTGCAGGGCTCAGGGATCAAATTGTGCTTTTCTTAGATTCTCTCTAGTTCAGGGGACAGTCCTCTGTGTTCCTTATCATGTGCCCTTTCCAGTCCCGTGTCCCAAACTGTGTCTTATTCTTGGGCCAGTTAGAGGCTTGTTGTTCAGTCGCTCAGTCATGTCTGACTCTCTGTGACCCTATGGACTGCAGTGTACCAGGCTTCCCTGTCCTTCACCATCTCCTGGAGTTGGCTCAAACTCATGTGAGTTAGCGATGCCATCCAACCATCTCGTCTTCTGTTATCCCCTTCTCCTCTTGCCTTCAGAGAAGTGAATTTTTCCCCTGGGTGGCTCTCCTTCCAGGTGGCTTTTGGCACCCTGCTCATCAGGTGTCCTGAGCAGGGGCAGGGAACAGGGCTCGGGCCCTTCCTCCTTGCCCAACTGCAGGGGCTGCCGTTCATGCTGTGACCTGCATGGCTGCACACACAGCTCCTGCCTGGCAAGGGCCCTCTCCTCCACCTCCTTACCTCCATGCCTTGTCTGGAAACTTGCTTCGACAGGAATATACCCTGGCTCACTTGGAGCCCCCAGACTCCCTAGAAGCTGCAGAGGCCGGGATCCGGAAGTTTGAGGATTTCTTGGTGTCTATGGAGAACAACCGGGATAAGGTTTTGAGTCCTGTGGACTCTGGCAACAAGCTGGTAGCTGAGGGGAACCTCTACTCAGACAAGATCAAGGAGAAGGTGCAGCTGATTGAGGACAGGTACTTTCTGCCCCAAGGGTCAGGGGGCCGGCGCCAGGTAGGGTAATGGTGCAGTCCACAGCACCCTCATGACTTGTGGTTCCGGCTTTCCTTGCAGGCACAGGAAGAACAATGAGAAGGCCCAAGAGGCCTCAGAGCTTCTGAAAGACAACCTAGAGCTCCAGAACTTCCTGCAGAACTGCCAGGAGGTAAGGCTCCAGCCAGGCTGGCCACTTTGCAGGAGATTCCCTCTAGGAGCATGGTGCCCTGGAGGTGGGAAGTCCTTTCTCACTCAGGAGTCTGGATTCCACGAGCAGGGAGCTCTGGGCACATGGCGTTATTAAGTCCTTCATCCTCTAGAATCTTTGGTTTCACAAATTTTTTTTCAAATCTGTAAAGATATCTTTTAATTTGTCAAGTCTGGGGCAAGATTTCTCAAAAAGTGCCCCAAGGACTATCTGTATTAGAATCACCTAGGGCCCTGGTCAGGGTTGGCCTGAAAGTCCTGTGACCTTTGCATCCATATGGGGCCCGGTGTGTACAAGGGCCTCATGTTTGGTTTATTACTCTGCTGTTGCCATCTTGCAATTCTTAATGACTTTGAATATTCCCATTTTACACCAGGCCCTGCAAATTATGGAGCTGGTCCTGGCTCTAGTTGAATGCAGACTTCTGGGCCCCAGTTGGGCCCAGATGAATCAGAACTTACGGGGTGAGATAGAGAGCAGCATTCCCAACAAGCTTTTCAGTTGGAGAACCACTGACTCAGAAGGTCCTCACTCAGCCTGGGGTGAGCTCTCCAGGAAGATCTTTGCCCTGTACTCCTAGGCCTCTCCATGAACAATGCTTCCATGTGGAATGGGGCTTCCCCTGACATTTTTGTTGCTTCCATCATCATACCCCTTTCCTCTCAACTCAAATGACTTTGTCCTCACCCATCTCGGCCCTTGGTACAAACCAAGCTTGGTGTAATGCCAAGACATCTTGGAAACATGAGAGACTCAATAGTTCTTCCTTCACTGTTATTATAGGATCTGCTCTTGGCTTTATCCTCAGATAACATTTTTTCACCCTACTGCCAAAGGGTGGGTTTAACCATCCATTCAGTAAACACATGTTGAGCTACTGCCAATAGACCAGGCCCTGTCCTCAGTCCTGGAAATGTGGAGAGAAGTGTGAATCTCCCTGGTGTTGTACTGCACATGCTCTAGAGGGGAAAGACACGGTGGTGCCTGTGTTTCAGCCCTGAGACCTTGCGGGTTAAGTTTCCTGTGCTGGGAGTTAGGGATCCCAAGTCAGAGGGGAGTACTCTGCTGTATTCATACTCCCTCCCCTTGGCCTTCTTCTGCAGCCAGAGGTGGGCAGCAGATCCAGCCATGAGCCCCTGGCCAAAGAGGGACTCTCAGGGACCATGGATCCCATTCTTTCTGCCCACAGCTCACTCTCTGGATCAATGACAAGCTGCTAACATCTCAGGATGTCTCCTATGACGAAGCTCGAAACCTTCACAACAAATGGCTGAAGCACCAGGCATTCGTGGCAGAGCTGGCTTCCCACCAGGGGTGGCTGGAGAACCTTGACGCGGTGAGCAGAGCAAGTGGTGGGGTCTCTGCTTGGGGATTCTTCCTTGAGTGGGGCTGCACGTGGGGCACGGACGCTGGCTGGGAGCTTGCCGAAGCAGTATAGGTCCTGGATGTGAAAAACTTCTCCAAGTAGTGGTTAAGCCTTGGAACTCCTGATAATCCAATGTTAAGCCTGCGCAGAATGGGTGCCTCCTGTGGGTCACTTGAGTCTCGGGACAGTCCAGGACATTAAGAACACAGGGCCTGTACGTCCAGTGCCAGGACAGCAGTAAATCTCTTGTCTGCCGTCCATCATCCTCACCAGGATGTCCTGCCCAGAGGCAGGGGGATCTCTGAGATGAGCAGAGTGGGCCAGGGACTACTGACCCTCATTGTCTGGATGGGCAGCACCACCAGGGAGTTGTCATTCATAACAGAGGTCCCGTCTGTAATAAGCTTGTCCAGGGGCCCAAGTCAAATATATGGCTGGAGTCAGGCCTGGAGGAAGAGAAAGAGAGGAGAAAGAGGAGCCTCTCACTCCTGTGACTGTCCATAAAAAGCAGGCCTGGGAGCCACACGAGTTTGTGTCCATCGTGGTTAAGCATGGGGCTCCAAGCCAGGCTGCCTGAACCCTTAACCTCCATGTGCCTCAGTTTCTGCTGCAAATAACTCTGGAGGTGCAGAGTTTTTCGCTAAGCCTCACCCAAGTTCTAGGCAGATCCATTGCCTCACTGACCTCTCCTCAGTTAGCACTTGGCAACCACCTGGGGCAAGGGGGCTCTCCAAGGTCGTAGGGTGAACACTTCTCCTTCCACACAGGAAGGAAAGCAGCTGATGGAGGAGAAGCCCCAGTTTGCAGCCCTGGTGTCACAGAAGCTGGAAGCCCTGCACCGGCTCTGGGACGAGCTTCAGGCCAACACACAAGAGACGGCTCAGCACCTATCAGCTGCCAGGAGCTCCGACCTGCGCTCGCAGACCCAGGCTGACCTCAACAAGTGGATCCGGGCCATGGAGGACCAGCTGCAGTCGGACGACCTGGGCAAGGACCTGACCAGCGTCAACAGGATGCTGGCTAAGCTGAAGGCAAGTGAATGGGTTGCAGACTGGGGCCGTTGGCATGGAAGGAGTCTTGGCAGCAAATCTGCAACCTGAAAGGGAGTACCCTCCTGTCCCTTTAGCTAGGCTGGCTTTTATCACATCTCCCGGTTTGTAACCCAGCTCCTACCCTCTGCGGTGGGTAAGACAGGGTAATAAAAGCATGCATGAGAAGTATAGCATAGGTGCTCAGAGGGGCAAAAGATGAGGTTGGGGAAATCCAAGAAGACTCCCTGGGGAAGGCTGAGCGCAAGCCAGGTCTTGGAGGATCAGTGGGACGTGGATGAGGAGGAGGAGGGGCTGGCCAGGTGCAAGGGCCGGTGCCAACACCATCCTCTCGTGTCCCAGCGCGTGGAGGACCAAGTGAATGTGCGCAAGGAGGAGCTGGAGGAGCTGTTCGCCCAGATGCCCTCGCTGGGAGAGGAGGCGGGGGATGAAGACCTGAGCATTGAGAAGCGGTTCCTGGATCTTCTGGAGCCCTTGGGGAGGAGGAAGAAGCAGCTGGAATCATCCAGAGCCAAGCTGCAGATCAGCCGGGACTTAGAGGATGAGACGGTGAGTGGGCGCAGCGGCCCCCCCTTCCCCAGCTGTCATCGGGGTGGCTGGCTGCCGCCCAGGGCAATTCTTGGCAGGCGACGTCTGGTCATCTCACCACCTCATTTCATAGGGTGGTTGTAATGATTACATTTAATATAAAAGTAAGCCAGTGCCCTTTGAAGGGTGGCTCACTCGTGGCTCATGAGACAGACTTGGGCTTGAGGTCCAGCTATGTTGCCACCTGCCTTGAAGTGACCAGGAGCAAGTTACTTGGAAGCTCGGTTCAAAGTATCAGAATGCCCCTCCTTTTACAAAACACTGATGGGGTGTTGGGAGGAACCAGAGGGACACGGGAGGCAGAGCTGTGTCTGGCCCCTGGGGAGCGATGGAAGGGTAACCGTGGTTGTCATCCGCTGTCCCCTGCCCTCTGGTCTCCGCAGCTCTGGGTGGAAGAGAGGCTGCCTCTGGCCCAGTCGACCGACTATGGCACTAACCTGCAAACCGTGCAGCTGTTCGTGAAAAAGAACCAGGTGGGTCCTGCCACCTGTCAGTCCCTCCTGCCCCCGCCACTCCCCAGCAGCAGATTACAGACCCTTTCTTGTTGACAGTTCCAGGGTTCCCAGTCTGCGTGTGTATTCTCATGCAGCTTTGCTGATAGCAGAGGGAATTCTAGGGGAGCCATGGGAGGTGGTGAATGGGAATGGGGGTCCAGGTGCTTTCGAATTTGGGGCCATTTGGGGACAGGTGAGTGTAGGACCTGGAGGCCGTGGCCTGGGTGTTCATGTGCTTTGTAGCTTCTGTATTCCGTGGCCTCCCTGAGAGGAGGCTGATAGCTCCTGGGGTCTCTCCTGTCGCTGCTTTGTCCCTCTTTCAGGGCTAAACTTGACCTGTTAGGTCTCCTCAGGGCAAGTAGGCCTCTACTTTCTGAAACACATGAGGGTGCTTGTGGGGCTCTAACCCCCACTTCCTTTAGAGGAAGCCACTAAACTTGGACTCTGAGCCACAGGAGCAAACATCCATTGGCTGTTCCGCTGTTTTAGGCCTGATTGGGAACTTCTGTGTCCTTGGGCAGAAGCCTGGAAGCAAGCAAATGCTCTTCCTCTGTCAGGGCTGCAGGGAAGCCTGTGTCCTCTGGGAAGGCCGGTGGCATGGGTTTGTGGTCTGACCATGCGATCTGGCCAGGGGCTGACTGTACCCCTGCCCTTGGGCGGAGTCCGTCCTGGCTCAGGAAGCAGGGGCAGCTGCAGTCTCGATCAGGGAGAATCTGGGAACTTAGAGAAGAGCGGAGTGTCCCAGAATGACAGTTGGTACTGCAGCAATGGGGAAGGGAGGTCATGGCAGACAGTACTCCCTTCTTCCAAAAATGCCAGCAGCCAACATCTTCCCACAGAACCCAGCAACTGTGCAAGGGCCTGAATTAATTATACTAAAAATGGTTTCTTGAAGGCTTCTTCTAACCCTTTGCTTCCAGTTGGCATGGTCATGGCACTGAGGCTCCAGTGGCAGCATGTAGGGACCCGAACTAGAAGGTGGTGGAGGTGGGGGTTCCACTAACACATCAACCTCCAGTTAAATGGGGAAGGCTGGGAGAAGACAGTATCCTTGAGGCCTCAGTTTCCTCTGCTATAAAATGAGCCAACTCTAGTCCTTTCAGCATTCACTCCTTTAGCCTCAGAGTTACTGCCAACTGATTTTCACCTCCCCAAGCTAAAGATGGCTATTTCAGGAGAAGGGCAAGAGTAATATGGATGGGGTTCCCCTTAACATGAAGGGAAAGACAGTCTCTTGGGTGAGCGTGGCTGCTCCAATAAAGATGATTTTAGGCTAGCCTCACTAAAGCCGAAATCCCATTTTATCATCCCTTCTATTGCAGTGGTCCGTGTGCATCAGACTCACCCAGAGGGCTTGTTAGAACACACTTGGCCGGGCTCCACCCTAGATCTTCTGCATCACACTCTGGGAGCAGAGCCTAATAGTTCGCGTTTCTATTAAGATCCTAGATGATGCTGATGTTGCTGGCCTGGAACCCCACGTTGAGAACCACTGCTCTAATGGCTATCACTGTGACTAGAACCCAATCTGCAAGGTGCCTCATGAAGGGTTCTCAACTCCAGCTGCACATTAAAATCACCCAAGGGAACCTTTAGACATATGAATGCCTGGGTCCCATCTCAGATCAATTAATCAGGACCTCTGGGGATGGGGTAGCCCTATCTACGTCTAGTTTCCCCCAGTAATTCAATGTTCAACCACTGTCCAGCCTGGCCTGGCTCCCACCTCCCCCTGAATCTTCTGTCTTATCCCTTTCACCCTCCTTCACAGTATTCACGTTTTCCTGGCCCTTTGGACCATCCAGGTTTCCTTCCAGGGACTTCCTTGACACTGGCTCTGTCCGCCTGCCATCAACACTCATCCTCCAAATGTCTCTGGAGTTTCTTTCTCTCATCAGTCACGTCTCACTCAGACATTATCTATACAGAAAACCCTTCCTGGACCCCCAGCTAGAGTGGCCACTGCCACGCCTTGGAGAACAATCTTCATCTCTTTGCTTAAAAGGAGACAGAAATAGCTTTCTAGTATATGTGAAGAGTTCATAGATCTCAGGGAAAGTAAACAGGCGAGTGGAAGCTGACCCCCTGGGTTGTTTGAATACAATTGCAGAGACCACAGGAAATTGTCTGAATCGAGATTCCAAGCATCAGGTGTAAGGTGCCTTTCGACAAGCTAGGTGACTTACAGGTATTGATAGTTCCATGTATTTTGAATGCTGACAGTCGCAACACTGGCCATGTATCCTGTTCTTGCCCATCACCAAAGTGGGAAGAAAATACCATGTTGGTAACCGAAGTCTCAAGCAGGAAATAATTCAAAGCTCAGAAAAGATTTGAGAAATAGAAACAGGAGAAAACAAAACAAAATCCTACCCTGAATAAGGAGCAACTGCTGACTATTGTTTTATACAGAGTAAAAGTTGCTAAAATCAGATCTCAGAAGGCCATTTTAAGAGTCATTTTCCTCTCCTCCACCACACACAGCTAAGAAATCGAGCTCTGCTGAAACAGGAGGAGTAGGGAGCCATCAAGAGCTCCGGCTCTGGGATCCCAGAGAGCCGTGTTCAGACCCCACCCTGTCACTCGAAGCCCACAGTGACCTAACCCTCTGTGTTGGCGTCCAGTGCTTATCTCAGAAGCTCACAGGAGGGTGAGGGGAGAGCGGGTGGACGCAGCACTGCGCTGGGCACATGGTCACAGGCCGTTTTTACGGCCACACCCGCTCTGTTCAAGCTTCCCTAAGTGGTTCCGGGCGAGAGGGGCCCGGGAGGGGCCCTGGGCTGCCCTGCACGGTGGGAAGGCCAGCCCCTGAGCCCTTCCCCTCTGGCCGCAGACGCTGCAGAACGAGATCCTGGGCCACACGCCCCGGGTGGAGGACGTGCTGCACAGAGCGCAGCAGCTGGTGGCGGCGGCCGAGATCGACTGCCAGGACGTGGAGGAGCGCCTGGGGCAGCTGCAAGGCTCGTGGGACACGCTGCGGGAGGCAGCGGCCGGCCGGCTGCAGCGCCTGCGGGAGGCCAGTGAGGCCCAGCAGTACTACCTGGACGCGGGCGAGGCCGAGGCCTGGATCGGCGAGCAGGAGTTCTACGTCTTCTCCGACGAGAACCCCCAGGTTGGCTCGGGCAGGGTCCAGGGCTGGAGGCCAAAACCAGCTGAGAAGAAGAGCCAGAGGGGAGATGGGCTGTTGGGGGGCACCTGGAATGCCATGTGTGAGGAGGGAGTGCAGGGGTCCAGGTGCTCTCAGGACGCCCCTCCTCTTGAGAACGTATGATGCACGTGCTTCACCCGGGCGCCCTGTTTTCAGTTAGATTTGCTCTAACCCGAGTTCTTCACGTTTTTTGTGTCAGGGGCTCTGTGCAGGTGAACTGTGGTGGGAGGGAGTAAGAGGTGAGCTAAGGGGGTCTCTAAAAGCTGGGGTGGTACAGGAAGTTTTCATTAGGGGAGAGGTTGGACCAGGGCCTGGGAGGGTGGACGTCAGATAATTGAGGGTGTTGAAAAAATAAAAAAAAAAAAAAAGAATTGAGGGTGTCGAGAAGAAGGTAGGAGGCGGGCATTGCCAGGCACTGGGAGTAGCAGGAAGAGGCCACTCGTGGTGCTCCTGGGGTGTCCCACGACCCTGGCCCTCCCACATCTCGGGCACCTGCCGGAGCTGGGCTATAACCTGGATGAGATGAGCTCGTACCCTGACAGTCTGCTTCCTCCCAGGATGAAGAGAGTGCCATCGTGATGCTGAAGCGGCACTTGCGGCAGCAGCGGGCGGTGGAGGAGTATGGGAGGAACATCAAGCAGCTGGCCGGCCGGGCACAGGGCCTGCTGTCCGCAGGCCACCCCGAGGGGTGCGTGTGCCTCCGGGGGTGACCTGGCCAGGTCCTGGGCACACCCCACCCCCACCAAGCAGGATCCCTTCAGGTCCAAGGGGAAAACAGGAATGGTTTTCCCCAAAGCTACGGGTTTGAGAAGGCTGCCTTCTGGAATGCTGGTTGGCCCCAGGACCCTCTTGTGTTGTGGTTTACTGTGACTTCAAACAGGGCTGACGGAAAGAGGCCTGGTTGGCAAAGAGATTCAGAAACAGACTAGCAAAACTACCTGCATGGTGAACTGAGAGCTCCGGTCTTTGGAGGAGTTAGTCTTCTGCATCTTTCAGCCTAGTCTAACTTTGCTTTTTGTGTGTGTGGTCCAGAAGGCAGGTCAGGATCTCGCAGTGTCTCGGCAAAATCATTATACGCCATCTAAGCTGTTGAGTGGTATGGGTGTAGCGTCAGTGGAGCCCACTGAGTCAGGCGCCTCAGGCTGCCCCCAGGCCTGGCCCTGTCCTCCGGGCACCCACAGCAGCCACGTCAGTGTCTCCTAAGGACCCCCAGGGACTGAAGAGCCCCTGGTACTGCACATCTCTCCCTAGGGAGTCCACAGGCCCTTCTGCTGGTAGACCCGGGCTCAGACTGCCCCCGCCCCCAGCCTCCTTGGAAGAGTAGCAGAAGAGTTCTCCATCCAGACAAGTCTCTCTGAGCTTCCCAGAGTCAGGGGCAGGGACAGGAGGCAGCTCCTAGCAGGGAACACATTTCATCATGCCCTGAGCATCATGGTCTAAGCGATGGCTCCTTTTCTCCCGGCTCTTCCCCGTGAAAAGTCGCTGCCATCCATGTCTTCTAAGCTGTGCTGCCCCATGCATGCGGGCCTCAGGGCTGGGAAGGAGGAGGCGGGCTCCTCGAAGCTGGCTGTCCTGGGTTCTCAGCCGCCCCCTCTAAGGACTTTTCTTGTTTTGAATCCTAGAGAACAGATCATCAGACTTCAGGGGCAGGTGGACAAGCAGTACGCAGGGCTGAAGGACATGGCGGAGGAGCGCAGGCGGAAGCTGGAGAACATGTACCACCTGTTCCAGCTCAAGAGGGAGGTGGATGACCTGGAGCAGTGGATCGCAGAGAAGGACACAGTGGCCTCCTCCTCGGAAATGGGGCAAGACTTTGACCACGTGACTGTGAGTATCCACGGCCCCTGCTAGCTTTGTCTCGCTCTAAGGCAGCAGACCCAGGAGCTGTCTGTCCCCCTCCACACTCACACACACACACACCTGCCAGGTGCAGTGTGCCGCACTGATGAGGACTCCCCCGTGTGAGCTCAGGCACCCTGGGGAAGATGTCAGAGCCCAGCTCCAGGCGGTGGCAGGTGCCACTGGGAGTCTACGTGATGACATTACTGAACCCCAAGCCCTGATGACCGACAACCGCGTTTCCATCTACCCTTGTCCAGGTGCTCCGGGACAAGTTCCGGGACTTTGCCCGGGAGACCGGGGCAATTGGGCAGGAGCGGGTGGACAACGTGAATGCCGTCATTGAGCGGCTCATCGATGCGGGCCACTCAGAGGCAGCCACCATCGCCGAGTGGAAGGATGGGCTGAACGAGATGTGGGCGGACCTGCTAGAGCTCATCGACACGCGCATGCAGCTGCTGGCTGCCTCCTACGACCTGCAGCGCTACTTCTACACCGGTTCCGAGATCCTGGGCCTCATTGATGAGAAGCACCGTGAGCTGCCTGAGGATGTGGGGCTGGACGCCAGCACCGCGGAGTCTTTCCACCGTGTGCACACAGCTTTTGAGCGGGAGCTCCATCTGCTGGGGGAGCAGGTACCTCTGGCCTCCAGCTGTCCCTCCACCTTGCCCCTGACTATCTTCCCTGGGATGCTGTAGTGTCAGGCCCTCTCCTGGCTTCTAGAGAGGAAATGTCTGCAACAGGCACCTCCTTAGAGAGGCAACAGCTCCAGGCAGGAAGGCAGGGAGCAGAGGCTTTCAAATGTTCTTTAACTTTAGAGCTAGTTCCCTGGTGGCTCAGACAGTGAAGAGTCTGCCTGCAATGTGGGACACTTGGGTTTGATCCCTGGGTCAGGAAGATCTCCTAGAGAAGGGAATGGCTACCCACTCCAGTATTCTTGCCTGGAGAATCCCATGGACAGAGAGCCTGGTGGGCTACAGTCCATGGGGTCGCAATGAGTCGAACATGACTGAGCAGTTAACACTTTCACTTTAAACTGAGCCTTTCCCAAAACCCAATGCAAAGTGCCTTAAAATGCAATTTATCTGCTTGTCAGAGTGTTACAGAATCATTAGTGAGTCCACATGTAGTACTTTTCGAGCACCAGGTACTGTTCTAAGCAATACACTCAGCCACACTCTGAGGAAGGGAGTAATGTCTTCTGCCTTTTCTAGATGAGGAAAGCAAGGCATTAAAGGGTAATTAAGTTGCCTGGAAACATGCAGCTAAGCAGTGGAGCCAAGATTCAGATCCTGGCAGTCTGGCTGTAGACTCTGAACCCTTAGCCATGGGGGCTGTTTAGCCTTTCCAAGTGGGAGCTGGAGGGGGGCCCGAGATCAGCCTAGACTCCCCCTTCCCATCACGGAGTGCCCCATAAGGCACTTCTATAGGCCCATAAGGTTCTGCAAAGTCCAGGGTGATGAAAAGGTTGAGGGGGAGCTCAGTCTCTTTGGGGGTACTCACCGGGCTTCCAGTGGAACAGGGAGAGCTGGGCTCACTTGCAGTCCTGCACCGATGCAGTGGGATTTCAGGAAAAAGCACCAAAGTATTAATAGGTGGGGCCCCTGGGTCACCAAGAAGGGGACAGCCTAGGGATTTGTCATCCAGCTGGAGGTGCCTTGGGGATGCCGGAGCCCTTGAGGCAGGTACAGCCCCACCAGGGTCTCAGGAGTGAGGTTTCACTGCCCTGGGGCCTGCCTCCAACAGTGGATGGCATCACGAAGAAGGATCTGGAACAGGGAGTCGAGAGAACCTCCAGTCCCAGCTGTGCCCTCTCCGAGAGTGAGTGACCTCGGGCCAGTCATGAGCCTCCCTGTGGCCCAGTTTCCTTGTTTCAGAAACAGGGATAAGAACGGTACCTCTTTGATGAGATTGTTATAAAGACTGAGAGTCATAAAATGTGCTTAGAGCAGTGCCCAGTATATAATTACTCTCATAATCACACATCAAAGGGCACAGAGCCCCTCTCACTCCCAAATCTTCATCAGAGCCCAAAGGGCAGTTTGGGTCAGCAGAGATGCCAGGGCAGGGAGCCTTCTCTCCAGCACCCAGAAGTGGGGAGCCTCCAGCACCGTCCTCGGAAGGGAGACCCAGAGGAAGCAGACACTCTCATCCATCCTAGGCCCAAGACATGTCAGCCCGGGGAACAGCAGTCAGTTTTGCCCCATCACAGGTACAGCAGTTCCAGGATGTGGCCACCCGCCTGCAAACAGCGTACGCCGGGGAGAAGGCAGACATCATCCAGAACAAGGAGCAGGAAGTGTCTGCCGCGTGGCAGGCGCTGCTCGATGCCTGTGCCGGGCGCCGCACCCAGCTGGTGGACACGGCAGACAAATTCCGCTTCTTCAGCATGGTCCGAGACCTCCTCTCCTGGATGGACAGCATCATCCGGCAGATTGAGACCCAGGAGAAGCCCAGGTGAGAGCAGCATCCCCACCCCTGGACCAGTTTGTCCCAGAGGCTGGCGGACCGGGCTGCTCTGAGGGCCCGTCCTGGAGAGATGTCCCGGACTGTGGGCACGCAGGAATCCCCAAGGGGCACCTGAGGCTGGGTCCAGGCAGAATCTTAGTGGCTCAGCTGCTACTGGGAGGACTGACCATTGCAGAGTAAAGGGAAGCCTGAGAGTGCTGAGAGACACATCTGTCATTCAGATTCTATCATGGGGCGCAGTGGCCGCAGTTGTCAGTGAAAATAAGTAGTCTATACATCAAAAGCTGGGCAGGTCCAGAAGTGGTCACTCTCCCCCTGGCATGGGCTTATGAGGACCATTTTCTTAAATTTCAGGAAAGGAGCTCATTGCCTGTGAGAGGTAGAGGCAGGTATGTGGGCAGTTGGCCGGGATCAGAACTCACTACACACTTTGTGCCTATCTCTGGCCCTCTGCCTCTAGGGCGCTTGTCCTGGTGGTCAGACTTTTATATTTAACATCTTGGTTGAGCTTATCATTCACATGCCGTGCAATTCAGCCACTTAGAGTGTGCCAGGCAGTGTTTGTTTTGCATAGTCACGGTTGGACAACCATCACCCCAGTATAAGTTTAGGATATTTTCATCACCTCAAAAAGAAGCCCGGTACCCCTTAGCAGTCATCACCCCCACTCCTATCTCTTTGTAGCCCTTGGCAACCTCTAATCTGCTTTGTGTATCTAAATTTGCCTATTGTAGACTTTTCACATGAGTGGGATCATAGAATGTGTGGTCCTCTGGGACTGGCTTCTTTCACTGTCCACAATCTTGCCAAGGTTCATCCACGTAGCATGTATCAGTACTTCATTCCTCTCTATTGCCAAATGTAACATTCCTTTGTGCGTGTGTGTGCGTGTGTGTGTGTGTGTGTGTGTGTGTGTGGTTGCTGCACCCCTGCCCATGTCCTGACCACTGGCCGAGGGAGGACACTAGGGCGTCAGTGTTCCTGCTGGGCCGGGCAGCTGGCAGGACTTCCCAGCTGTCCAGAGAGAGAGGAGGGAGTGGGGTCAGACTCCCAGGCAGATGGGGGGCCCCCCCTCTGATTGGGACTTGGTGTCAGGTGGGCCAGAGTCACCCCGAGTCTCCCTTTTCACCAAACTCCCAACCCTGCCCCCCAGGGATGTCTCCTCAGTGGAACTCCTCATGAAGTATCACCAGGGCATCCGGGCGGAGATAGAGACCCGCAGCAAGAACTTCAGCACCTGCCTGGAGCTCGGCGAGTCCCTCCTGCAGAGGCAGCACCAGGCCTCGGACGAGGTGGGCTGGCAGGACGGACATGGGTTCTCTCCTGTTCTCGCCTCCGCTCCTGCCTGGCCAGACAGCTTCCTGGGAGGGAGCCTGTGGGCCATGGAGTCTCATCTTTCTTTCGCCCCAGGAGCACTGGGGCTCTGTGCCGGCCAGGGATTTACAGCCTCACCAAACCCATTCAAGGAGCTGGCCGCTTCAAAGGGAGAGTGGGCTCATAACCCTCCTAAACCCTCTCATGTGTGTGTGCTTTGGGCTTGGCGACCCCCACTCCCTGAGTGAGGCACATGTTAACCTCAGAGAGGTTAAGTAACTTGGCCAAGGCTACACAGCTGGCAGGGCCAAGACTCGAAGCCAGGGCAGTGTGACCAAGGCCAGCCGGCTTTGCAGGGCCCTTCCGCGCACCACCTCCAACGGTGGCAGGAAGGGTTACCTACCAAAGCCTGAGCCACCTTCCCTTCCTCCCCGCAGATCAGGGAGAAGCTGGAGCAGGTGGTGTCCAGGAGAGAGGAGATGAAGGAGAAGTGGGAGGCCCGCTGGGAGCGGCTCCGCATGTGTGAGTGAAGCCTGGGAGCCAGGCAGTCGGGGAGGGGCGGGTGCAGGGAGGGGTGATGTCACAAGGAGGTGGAGGAGAAGACCCCACCCCACCTCGCAGCACCACTCATCCGCAGAAGTCAGGGCCAGGGGCCTGGGGGGCCCACGGAGAAGACCCAGCAGACACACTGCTGGAAGCCCACCTCTGACAGCCAGCACCCGCTTCCTGTCCACCCTCTGCCCCCGCCCCCGCCTCCTGCTGGACAGGCGTCCCCGTAGAGCTGTGGCCTCTCCAGGGGTCGGGGCAAGGCCCTAGTGCATCCCAGGTGCTTGACCTGCGGCGTGTGCTGCACAGAAGCGGCTCTGTCCCCCGCGGCTGGAGACCGGAGAGGCGGGGAGAGCCCACCACTCGGATCGAGGCTGCACAAGGACCTGGTCTCTCCCATGGCCGCTTGTGCACGTCTGTGAGCGAGGGAGACAGGCTGGGAAGACAGCCCGGCTCCACATCTGTCTGTGCGCGGACCTCCCCTAGGCTCCCTAGGTTCGGGGGGCGCTCACAGACCCCGGGCCTTGTCTCGGCAGTGCTGGAGGTATGTCAGTTTTTCCGGGATGCCTCTGTGGCCGAAGCATGGTTGATCGCCCAGGAGCCTTACCTGGCCAGCCGGGACTATGGACACACGGTGGACAGCGTGGAAAAGCTCATCAAGAGGCATGAGGCTTTTGAGAAATCTGCGGCCAGCTGGGAAGAGCGCTTCGCTGCCCTAGAAAAGCCCACCACGGTGAGCGGGGGGCAGGAGGGTGACCCAGAGCAGTGGACAGCCACACCTTGGGGGTCCCTCCAGTCGAGAGTTCTTAGGCGGTTTTGGGGGACCTGTGGGCAGTGTAAAGGCTGAACAAGTGGGGAGAGTGGGAAGGAAACACAAGTAGGAGGAAGGATGGACCTTTGAAGGCAAGAGACAGAGGGGCTGGTTCTGGAAGGAATGAACATCAGATGTGTCGGGTACAGGGAGCCTCTTTCGAGAAAGGCTGTCTCCGAGCTGGCTCCCCTCATGGCTGCTCTGATTCCTTGGCCTTTTCTTTCCCTAGCTTGAGCTCAAAGAGCGCCAGACCCCGGAGAGAACGGAGGAGGAGCCTGGGTGAGTGTGGGGAGGACTGGCTGGAGCACTCTGCTGGGGGGGGGGGTGAGGGGGAGGGGGAGGACAATGCTTCCACTTGAAACAGGCCCCCTGATGTTTTGACACACCACCTGTGACCTCTCACACCTGGGCCACGGGTCAGAGAAATCCAGAGTGTCTGGAGCTTAAAGGCAGAGAAGAGACTTCATTTCCCCGCAGTATTGGGTGTCCTGCAGTCTTCATGGGAGAAGGATGAGGCGGGTGTGCCGTGGCTGCTGCACCGTCGCCCCCCTGCTCTGGGAACCAGCTGAACACGTGTTCCGGAGGCCAGGCTGCCTGGAACCAGCCTTTTCTGAAGCATCTGCTCTCACTTTGCAGATTGTGGAGCGTCTGCCAGGCTGCAGACTTGGCTTGTGTTTTCTGGGGAGGAGGTGGGAAGCCAGGCCTTGGAGATGGGCTCCGGCCTCCTAGAGGTGCTCATTTCTGAAGCGGGACATTGTTTTCCATAGGCTTCAAGAGGAGGAAGGCGAGACAGCGGGGGAGGCTCCCCGAGGTCCCCACCAAGCCACCACTGAGAGAACATCCCCGGTCAGTTCCCTGTCCCGTTTGTCTAGTTCCTGGGAGTCATTGCTGCCAGACACCCATCGTCCCGACTAGGCTCTGTGGGGGCAGAAGGCCAGGATGGGCACACTTCCACCCCCCCCCCCGAATCCTTCCACCACTCTTCCTTTTTTACTTAGCTTTTCTTAATTTCTAGAATAATTCCCCTCCTCCCCTCAATCAAGAAGAAACTGACATGCCAGCCCACTGACATGACTCTCTTGGTTTGGTTTTATCTGGTCTAATAAATTTTATTATATAAACACATCCCCATCTCCATCAGGGGGAACAGTTTATACAGCAGGGATGATCCCCTTTTATACACTGTCCTTTCCCCCCGACACCGTCCCTAACTCAGTACCCCCTGCACACGCACACATCCACACACACACACATACTCACAAATGGACCGTGTGGTCTCCCTGCCCCAACCGTGGCATTTAGGGGAGTGAAGTGGGCACGTTCACCCTCGAGTAGACTCCTTCCACTGAAACAGAGGCCCCTCCCCACTTTGCACCTTCCTGGCCTGATGCCTGTGGGTCAGTGAGCTGGAGACAGAGATGATTCTGAGGCAAGAACAGACTTGAGGGGGCCCTTCAGGAGGAAAAGAGACCCCCAGGTATTCTGCCTCGGAGGTTTCCAGCTTGTAGAAGGGAGGATAGGGAGGAGGGGGTACCTAAGGCCCAGATGTCTTCAGGGCCTTGCCTGGCGTAGATCCTTTAGCTGAAAGGACCCGGGAGGTCTATGCAGGAAGTCTGGGAGGCTGTGACCCCGGTTTTGGGGAAATGTCCTGGGAGCCGCTGACTGAGAAGAAAGCAAGAACCCAGCATGTGCCTTGCATGGCTTTGCTGCTGCATGTCCACCACCTGTGCAGGTACCCAGTTGAGCTTGCCTGAACCTTTAGGAGTTCTTGGTGGAAATTTATGGTACGACATCAACCCCAGAAACATGCATTTCCTGTGAAGAATCCCCATCTGATCTAGATTTCAGCCCTTCCCACACTTCCCACACTTCCCACACACACACACACACACACACACACACACACACACACACACACACACACACTTCTCACACACACACACACACCTCACACACTCACACACACACACGACACAGACACACACCCTCTCTGAGCTGCCTCCAGCCCCACCAGAGGCCTCCCTTTCTGAGCTGCACCAGCCCGTCATGTCCAGCAGAGGGCACTCCTGGGCTCCCGCTGGAGGGTCTCTCCCAGGAGTTCCCACTGAAGATCCCATTGTGGCAGTGTGGGGGTCTCCGGTGAACTTCGCCCTGGCCCCCTTCCCCTTTCCCAGAGACAGTCCCACTGGAAGGAGAGAGAACTCTGGTGGGGGCTGGCACGGACTGCTACACTGGGGCTGTGACTGTTCCTGCCACCTGCGCTTCAGCTGTGCGTCCCGTGTGTCTGCGTGCGGTGGTGTCCCAGGTCTGCGGGTTCCTTTGTGACTGCCTGAGCGATCCATCCATTGTCTATGTCATGTACGTCTGTGCAAATGTAATTACATGTGCATCAGAGCTGCCTCCATCCAACACCTGAGTGCCGCTGGATTTGGGGGGAATAAAACCTGCTTGGACCTGAGAGTCTCTCTGGGAAAAGGGAGTGAGCCCACACTTGAGACCCTTTCCAGAGAGTCAGCCACCCTGCCAGATGGGGCACGTGGCCTGCGCACGGTACCAGGAAGAGACCAGATGGCGAATCAAATGAACACCAGGCCCAAGGCCTCATGCAAACAGATTTCCTGCTGCTTCTCCTTTCCCAGCCCTTTGTTGAGTTTTCATGAGGATCCATGGAACTCCAGGGGGTAGAGTGGGATACCCCCTTGTTCTTTGGCATGAGAAGAGTGGAGAAAGAGTCCCACGCAGGTTGGAAAACCTTTCCAGAAGCCGCAGGCCCCTCCCAGGAAGGCCAGCTGAAGAAAGGCCCACTGAGCCTTCTCTCGGGCTGGGCCTGGCTGTCACACTGTCCTGTCTCTGTGGTCTGGTGTCGGGGCCCTGTGGGACAGATCCGTGCTGTGTGTGCTCTGGTGTCGGGGCCCTGTGGGATACATGTGTGCACTGCGGCTTCCCGTGAAACCCATCACTAGTGCATGCCGTCTTCCTGCTTGGGGGAGCAGACCAGGCACCTGAACCCCTGTCTGGACCACTGCACAGCCCACAGTGAGCACCCTGCCAGCCCTGCCTGCTCCTCCCTTCCCTGGTGTGCACCTGGGTGTGTGCACACACACACACAGGCATGGGCTGGAGCACTATTCCACGCATTCGGTTTTTCCCTCAAGCATATCATCATCGTACAATCCATTGCCTCCATCACCTCCTAGCTTTCCATGTTAGAGCATGTTCTGATTTAAAGGGGAAAAAAAATTCATTCTACAGGTAAGTATGCGGGAGTGCATGAGACCAAGGAGAAACAAGTTTTCACAAATGGCAAAATTCCTGGAGTGAAATTTTGGAAGTCTGGACATTGGGTTCTAGTCCTTCATTGTAGCAATGTCATGTGAGATTTTAGACAAACCCCCTAACCTTGCCCTTTATAGAGCGCTCTCTGCAGGATTACAGAAAGTCCAGGACATTCCTGTATGTGAACCATGTACCTAAATAAAGGGAGGGTTGGGAGAGAAGGATTTCCCCACTTTCATGGTGTTCTCAGATCTGAGGAACCTGGTTCAGTGGTCAGGTGCCAGCAGGTGTGAGGCTGGAGATGGGAAGAGATGGCAAAGGGCTAGGGTGTTTTTCTTGGTTGCCTGGGGAAGAGAGGAAGGCAGGGTTGAACCTCTGCTCCTGCCAAGGCCAGGGCCCTGAAGGTGGCTCTGGGGTAGCAGAGGGGGACCTGGCAGCAGGCTGAGGCTCCCCCCACAACACCCTCCACTTTATATGTCTCTCCTTCACCCTGGGTGCGGCTCTGGGGAGGGCTTGGAGGTCCTGCTAAGCATCCTCATCTGCTTGGCTCTGGCTACCTCGGAATCCGCAGAGTAACATTTGTGGTGAGATGCTGAGGTTGATTTATGGAAAAGAAATGATACTGCAGATGATCTGAGCCAACCCAGGCTCGGGGGCCCCCAACCCCGGAGCCTCTTCTGTGCCCTGTGCCTGTCTCCTGGCCTCGAGAGGGAAGCAAGGCCTGCTCTAGGAACTCTCCCAGTGGAGCTGCTGTAATGAGGAGTGAGGACCCTGAAAAGGGTTGGTGCTTCTGGAGGGCTGCCACAGCAAGAAAGAATCTGCCTTCGGGGTTCACTGTTTTGGGGCAAATGTGCCCTGTCTTACTCTGAGCCTCCAGGCTGGATTCCTCTGTGGTGCAGGGACTCTGGGGCCAGGCCGCTCCAGAAAGCAACTGCCTGGATTCGTTTCATTATCAGGCTTTCATCAGGTTGTCAGGGAAAACTCTCTTAGCCAAGCGCAGCTCATAGACATCACTCTTCCCCATGACCTTCCAAGACTGCCTGCAGCTGGCTTCCCCGAGGGAAGACTCGCCAACTCATCTGGGATGAATAGGAGGGTCCAGACCCCCAGGTCCCTTGTCTCTCCCTTCCAGAGCTTTAGAGGTTGATGTGGCTTCAGGCAAGCTACCAGCACTTTCTAACATGAGGGTTAGTGTCCCGGGGTTGAGTGGGCACTAGATTGCAGCAGCTCACCTTTCCGCCAGTGCCTGGTGGCTTCAGCTGCTGTCACCACCTCGGCATTACCCACCCCCCGCACCCCCCACCCCCAGCCCCCAGCACCAGCCTCCACGGCAGGCAGCCTAGAGCTTTAATCAGCTGCCAGAGGGCCAGACTCTGACGTCCTTAGAGGGAAGGGATGTGGGTGTGGACGCAGCAGCTGTGTTTCTTCTTGCCTGAGCAAGCTCTCTCCATCCTTTCTACCGGATCGTTTCTCCCCTCCCACTCTGAGGCCAAACTGAGCTGCTGGTTCAGGCGTTTTTGCAGTGAAGGCAAATGGTGTGTTTGTCCATAATGAGCAGACCCAGTCTGGAAAGAACATCAGTTTTCCCACGAACCTGGGTGTGTCTGTCTCCCCAGAATGCCTGAATCAGCATGGCAGAGCTGTGTCTGCCTACAGCCTGGCACCACGCCCTGGAACTCCGGGGAAACTGGCTCTAGGCTCTTTCTGGACATCTGTCCGAGGCTGGGTGTGTCTCACTCTCTATGCTGAGGTTGGGCGTGATCTTCCCGTCCCTGCTGCTCAAAGGCAGCCCCTAAGTTTGCCTGCCAGTCCACGTTTCAGAGCATCCCAGATCTTGATAGACCCAGCATGGGACTCAGTTAACACTGAAGGCATCTCAGAAATGGGGTTGGAAGTTGCCAACTTGACCGCTGGGTGTCAGATCCAGATGGGGGAGTCAGTGTCTTCCTTTTGGTCTGAGTGCCCGGCTCAGAGGCATTAAGCAGCTTCCAGTTCTTCACGGCAGGGGCCTGAAGAGCCCACGTTGGTTGTAGGAATGGCAAAGACAGCCCCTGAGGAAGCCTCATTCTCTCCCCCAGGATGATCATGGGGGAGACCTTCCCTGTCCAAGGGGACCCTGCGCACTCCCCTCCGTCCCCCTGGCTTCACCTGGTGGCCTTCTGCTCTGCATCTATCCCTTGTCTTCCCTGGTTTCCGGTGACTGGACTCTCATCGCAGTCCTTCATCTCTCAGTTCAGTCGCTCAGTCATGTCTGACTCTTTGTGACCCCATGGACTGCAGCACGCCAGGCCTCCCTGTCCATCACCAACTCCCAGAGTTTACTCAAACTCATGTCCGTGGAGTCGGTGATGCCATCCAGCCATCTCATTTCATCTCTTAAACGTCCTCCAGAAGAATTCTAACAGTCGGCCCCCGGGGCACAGGGCTGAGCCACTCCTCATGAGAGCTTCTCCCCTCGGCCCCCAACCTGGAGGACTCCCCACCTGGAGGGCCTCAGCTCTTCCCACGTGTTTCCCTCTGTTTAGAAACAACTCTGTTCCCTCTTCTGGCATTTGTCTCTGCTCACCCTC